TGCATGAAATATTGGTGCAGACTGTTGTACATGGCGACTAACGGGATCGGGCAGTCAGGCTCGCTGACATGGTTGACACATGTCATCGTATCCCAGTTGTGTAGATCGATGCTCATGGTGTTGATCACTGAATTGTCTTGTTTAGACTCTTTTATTTACAGACCGCCGTCATATGGCTGGAATATTGCTGAATGTCGTCAAGCCGGCGTCATCACTAATAACATGAACACCCTCTTCGCCGTTGTACACTGACGGACAATAACGGTATGTCCTCTTCTGTGACAAATACTCTCTGCAGAATCCTTTCGGTTATAATAGTTTGAGACAAAATTATACTGTCTTATTTCCAGACACGAAGATGAAGAAGCGCCAACCAGCAGCAGCAGCAGTGGTATAGTCATATCATTGCGACGCAGACCCGTGAAGGTCCGGGTTAGAATGAATCCTCAGTAACCCATGCTTGTCGTAAGAGGCGACTAACGGGATCGGGTTGTCAGGCTCGCTGGCTTGGTTGACACATGTCATCGGTTCCCAATTGCGCAGATCGATGCTCATGCAGTTGATCACTGGATTGTCTGGTCCAGACTCGATTATTTACAAACCGCCGCTATATAGCTGGAATATTGCTGAGTGCGGCGTAAAACTAAACTCGCTCACTCACTCATTGCGGGTCGGGACAGTTGAAATGTTCGATAAAAAAAATAAAAAATAAATAAAAATACATTCCTTATGTTTCTCAGCATAAATCATACACAGATACAATATATAGGTACAACACATGGCGCAAAGGAAGCGGTTACGTAAAACATAGACTCACAAACACTAACAAACTGAAGGGGGTGAGTTGAGTGAATAAGTGAATGAATGAATAAATGAATGAATGAGTGAGTGAGTTTAGATTTACGCCGGTTTTAGCAATAATCCAGCTATATCACGGCGGGGGATACCAGAAATGAGCTTCACATTTTGTACCCATGTGGGGAATCGAACTCGGGTGTTACGCGTGACGAGCGAACGCCTTAACCACAAGGCTACCCCGCCGTCTGTAAAGGCGATGACCTAGCACAACCTATGTTGTGTTTTAGCTGGTATTATCAACAAAACTTGTTTATTTTCAGAGTCAACGCATGGCATTACAGCTGTTATTGATTTGCAGTCAATGCTGGAGAACAAAGGGTTATTCTGCTATTACTCTCCCCAGGGAGTTGAGAGTGAAACCGAGTTCACATTAGTCCATTTAAATCGAGTTTTCACCATGACCCTATGTGGTGTTAAAATATAGTGCACTGTCCAAGGTATTACTGTTATCATTACTATTATCATTATTTCTATGGGCGGTGGGGTGGTCTAGTGGTTAAAGCGTTCGTCCGTCACGCTGAAGACCCGGGCTCGATTCCCCACATGGGTACAATGAGTGAAACCCATTTCTGGTGTCCCACGCCGTGATATTGCTGGAATATTGCTAAATGCGGCCTAAAACCAAACTCGCTCGCTCGCTGGCAGTATTTCTATTACTACCAGTTGTAGACAATACACAGCTGAGGCTGTAAATCTTGAGGAGGTATGAATTCGTGCTTCTTTCAGAAATATTACAACAATACCAACACGAGAAATGAGCATCACAGAATATATCAATGTTGAGAATGGAACCCGATCTTTGTGAAGCGAACACCTTAACCTCTATGCTAACCCATATAAGAACAAGAAACGGGAAAGGCTATTCATTATAATCACTGAGATCATAGCTGACAGAAGTTGTTACCACAGATGACAGGGCTACTGTGTATTCTAAGCGTCAGCCATATTCTGGCCATAGTGACCTCCCGATTGACATTGTTGCCATTTGTATGAAAAGTCTTTGAGGAAACTACGGAGACATTGCTTCGTCCCAGGATTTTGTTTGTTTAACTGTTGCATAAATCCGTACTAAGCACGTTTCTGTAAACAATTGATATTGGACCAGACAATCCAGTGATTGACATCACGAGTATCGCTCTAAGCAGCTGGTATACGATGCCGAGGATCAACCAAGTCAGCGACAGCTTTCCCGCCCGATCCTGTTAGTCGCATCTTACGTCAAGCATGGGTTGCTGAATATCAATTTTAACCCGATCTTCACGGTTCTCACACATAAGGAATAACGGCTGAAATATAGCATTTGACCGTAGATGTACATGTACAGATTTTTTTCAGAGCCAGCATGTTGTGATAAACGTTGTCAGAATTCTCTTGGAATCGTTTAAAGGAACACCGTGACATAAACGATTAAATATCCTACGGCAACAAACTGGAACGAGCAAACGGCGGTTGGCGTGCTTTTTGATTTGTGAAATATATTAACTGCCTGGACTGATGTATTTTAAAAAAACCCCCCAAAACTATAACAAAAAGCATAAATTATCAAGCAGGAATGAATTAGATTTTTAATTACACCCCAGAGACAATTTAATCATGCACATTGTCTTTCAAGAATAATTCATAACTTTCATCGGTCTACTTTGGGTGATTAATTTTAATTTCCATGCAGCAACTATATTTTTAATGTTCAGTCCGCTTTTCATAGGTAGCAATTTTAGGAATGATCAAATTCTTTAGAAATGACAGCAGCCCAAACTGCATGTGCTCAAGGTTTCACAGAACACAGGAACCCTACACGCGTATATTCCAGCTATTACGCAAACGAGCGGGGCAATATACATTCACTCTAGGTTTCACATAACACAGGTCCAATATGCATATACTCTAGGTATTAAATAACACAGGGTCCAATATACATACACTGTAGATATTACATAACACAGGGTCCAATATGCATATACTCAAGGTATTACATAACACAGGGCCCAATATGCATATACTCTAGGTATTACATAACACAGGGCCCAATATGCATATACTCTAGGTATTACATAAAACACAGTGCCCAATATGCATATACTCTAGGTATTACACAATACAGGGCCGAATATGTATATACTCATAGTCATTACATAACACAGCGGCATAGAGTGAGACCCAACATGCATACATTGGCTATTACATAACAAGGCAGCCCAGCCGGGGGCCCAGTGTGCATACCCTCTAGGTATTATATACCAAGGTAGCCCAGCGTGGGGCCCACTGTGCATACCCTCTAGGTATTATATAACAAGGCAGCCCAGCGTGGGGCCCAGTGTGCATACCCTCTAGGTATTATATAACAAGGCAGCCCAGCCGGGGGCCCACTGTGCATACCCTCTAGGTATTACATAACAAGGCAGCCCAGCGTGGGGCCCAGTGTGCATACCCTCTAGGTATTACATAACAAGGCAGCCCAGCGTGGGGCCCAGTGTGCATACCCTCTAGGTATTATATAACAAGGCAGCCCAGCGTGGGGCCCAGTGTGCATACCCTCTAGGTATTATATAACAAGGCAGCCCAGCGTGGGGCCCAGTGTGTATATCCCTCTAGGTATTACATAACAAGGTAGCCCAGCGTGGGGCCCAGTGTGTATATATACCCTCTAGGTATTATATAACAAGGCAGCCCAGCGTGGGGCCCAGTGTGCATACCCTCTAGGTATTATATAACAAGGCAGCCCAGCGTGGGGCCCAGTGTGCATACCCTCTGGGTATTACATAACAAGGCAGCCCAGCGTGGGGCCCAGTGTGCATACCCTCTAGGTTTTACATAACAAGGCAGCCCAGCGTGGGGCCCAGTGTGTATACCCTCTAGGTATTATATAACAAGGCAGCCCAGCGTGGGGCCCAGTGTGCATACCCTCTAGGTATTACATAACAAGGCAGCCCAGCGTGGGGCCCACTGTGTATATCCTCTAGGTATTATATAACAAGGCAGCCCAGCGTGAGGCCCAGTGTGCATACACTCTAGGTATTACATACCACGGTAGCCCAGCGTGGGGCCCAATATCCATACTCGCTGGGAGGTGAGATAAGTTTCTGTGTATAGTGATTGCTGCAGCGGAAATAGATGTTTCTCAATCGCAGAATCGATAGTCATTACACAGCCATACACCGTCGTTGTTGCTCTGTCTTGCCCGTTGTTTAAATCACAGAGACTCACATGGGAAATGTAAAATATTGCTTGTTTTATCTCAAAATGAGTGGCTCGTAGGAAACATTCTCAGGCGAACTGGGCAGTAGTATTGCTTGGTACGATGTTCAAAGTGACTTACAATGGTCATCATATCGAATGCCTGGATTTAGTTCTGATTTTTCCGTCACAAATTCATTCATCGTCTTTCTGAAAGGTACAGCATACCTACCCACTTTATCCAAAACTACCCCATTGTGCCTAGCCGACACACCCACCAGTCAGGGTGAGTCAGTCGTAGAGAGAGTTTCTACTTGCCAGACCTAATCCAGCTTGTTGAATGTTTTTCTTTTCAATCTTATACAACCTATAAATCCGTTTATCGCTACCAGGTTGTGACAAAGTCGTCTTGCTGGGACAAGGATTTATTATAAGTGTGATCTGAATGGTTAGAAAATGGATTCCCCATGAATAAATGAGAATCAAATGGTATGGGCAATCGTCAAGGAAAACAGGCTGTGTTTTTTTTTTACCTTAAGAACGAAAATATGAAAAGAATGGTTCCTGTTGAAACAATAAGAACCACATTAAACTGTTTGACAATTTTGAAAATGAAAACTTTATAATTCCCGTCGTTATCAGACGCCCACAGCAGAGTATAACCGTTCTGTTTGTCGGCGAAATAAATAAATCCAGTGTCATTTTTAGGCTATATGGTTTCATTATATACATCTTGTTGTGATCTTTCATTAAAGAATTTCGTTGTATTTAATTAATTCTACTATGAAGGTGCATTATCAAAAATGCATGTACATAAATGTTAAAAGAAAATGAATTCTTTCGTGCTTCAAGGAATATGGCGTTAGCACGTGCAACACGAATATTATTTGCCATTTGTGCGGGATGAATATTCCCTGCTGCACGTGCCCCGCGAATATTCTTTGCAGCACGTGCATCACGAACATTACCTGCTACTGTTTGCACGTATCCCACAATTCGGGTCATGGACTTCTGATAGTCACGCGGGAGGCACGTGACGCAGACGGAAACAAACGCACTGAGGCTTATGAGTCCACAGCCTCCACCGTAGAGAACACAAGAAGCTTGCCACGCCCTTACTGGTACCCTGCCCATGCTGAATGTTCCGCCATAGAATCGACACACCTCACGTGACTTGGCGTACCGGGTGTCGCCGAAACAGTAACTGATCATGCCGAATGCGTGGGAGAAATCGTGATGAAGCAGCCAGAACGGCTGTAGAAAACTGAACGTACACGTCCCTGCCACAAGGACTGAGAGTAACACCCATATCAGGAGAATTGGAGAAGGCATCCTGTTGAGCTAAAGAATCCTGCTGAGTACAGTTTAGCCGAGAGCAGCCAGGTGTCTGCCAAGCTGTAGTTATGATGGCACCGTTCATAAAGACATCCAATTCATCATGGTCAATAGGCCACTTATACCATTCTGGCGGAAGGATATCAACGTCACAGACCTTTTCAATACCAATAACGTTACATGTAGCCACGCTTCCGCCTGCAAAATAACGTCGCCGATTTCGGAAATGACGTCACAATTTGAGCGTTAAATTGGCAGTCTGTGTATCGATTCAACAGTTAATCGGTACTTTATTTCCTTCTCTTGAATATGGCATGGCCTATGATTTGTAAGCTCCAGTATGTTCTTTCGAACTAACCATACTTGCCTGTGGTAATAATAGTCTTTACGCACGCCAGTACTCCAGAAGTGAATTGGGATGTTCGACAAACAACTCTTAAACGTCAGCGAGTCCACGAAGTCCCGATTGTATCATGTAATAAAACCAGATCGTCCTCCGCTGGTGCTGTATCGAAGTCGTATGAAGTAGACGCGATGTTACAGAAGGCTTTGGTCGGGATCCGGAATGATATACGTCCCACGGAAACGGAGCTGAGTGAAGTTCTGGCAATTAGGCCTATACGAGGCTAAATGCTTTAGTGTGAACGGAATAAATCACCGGTGAATGAGCAGAGTTCTGACCTTTCTCTCAACATACACCGCCAAGTGGGGCACTATTTGCTGAAGGACGTCGTAATTACTGCCAAACGTGACCTCTGAACTCTGAAAGGTTCGATGGCGCAGTAATATCGATCCGGGTCCTGTTATAATAACGATGTACTCACTGTGACATTCTAACTGTTTTCCAGCTCACGGGGCGGGTTAATAACTCCCTCGGTTAATGATGATAGCCTTGGAGGGAATTCTGAAATATTGGGCTCGCAAAATGTTTTCTCACGTAACAAATCAAATAGTTTCTCTGCATGGATGAGCGCTTTACGCCTTCAGATGAGCTGGGAAGAGATTGTTTTCTGAGATTACTGGCGTTGTCTGTAATAAGTTGCAATTCTTCCCCTCGCCTCCTGACTGCCGTCCTCGTGTCCCCTGAGATGGAGGTAATGACGTTGCGAATGCTGTCGTTAACGCCACCGATATCACCGTTAGAGATGAGCAAAGAACAGGAATCACACTATGCAGGCTTAAATGATAGTTTCCAATTGCACACACGGCAAGTTTTATCACTAAGCCTTTCTATCACCTTCGCACTCTCAACTTTAATTCTTGTTCTCTCATCAATATCAGTCCGAATACTGCTCGTGGGGGTATTTCTACAAGGTTCTTGACAAGTTAAAAAGCACTTTAATGCCAATGTTGGTTGTAAAAAGGATATGAACTTCGAGCGGTTTTAATGATCACTGTCTAAAGGCTTCAGTTTTCATGTTGCCTCCCCATGCTGCTCGCGGGATGATAATGTATTCTTGCTCTTCACAGACAATAAAAATACAATAGTTATTAATATTTCAACGATCACATGTCAGCGGGGAGGCTTCAGGATCGGTCGTCTGTCTCATATGCTCTCCAGAGCTTCAAGCTTTCATTAGGTGTTAAATGAGTCAATAAAACAGGTGCTAAGTGATTCAATCAGCATCGATGGAAATCCTTTTTAGTAAAATGTCAAAGTTCACTGTGACATTAAAGTTCAAAGCAACATGGAGTCTCATCACACGCCATCTATAACGGGCCCACAGTTGGGATCGAACCCCAGAATCACGTGTGTCTATATGATGGTCTCTGAATATTCCAATGTTGAGAGATGTAAAATAACTTTGTCAATCAGGTCTCTCTATAGGACTGTCTCTGAAAGCCAAGGAACGCAATGTCATGGACAGGACAATTCCGGAACCGTTAAAATGTCAACTGTTAAGCGTTACATGAAGATGTTGTAGAGTCTTCAAGTCTCCGGTACAAAGACCTCTCTGCGGAACAAAACACTTTTTTCAGTCACTTTTCGCACATAACGTCCAAATGTACCCCTCACTCTTATGTGGCGGTTCCGATCTGAAAAATAGTCTTGAGTACATCCAACGATGTTCAAACACGACACAGTCACAAGTTACATATATTGCCTTAACATGAAATCACTTCCATAACCCACTTTTCAGGCGAATCTACTTCAAATCAGTGTCGAGTCTCCAACATGCACAGACCGAAAAGATTTTAAACCAATGCCAGTCTAGCCGGACATAAATAATGAACCAGATTGTGAAAAGTTCTCAAAAGACGTCGATGACCCAGCCCTCTTCTCACGAAAGGGTATTAATCACTTTACTTGGCTGGTCAATAACTCAGGCTACCAGCGGCAGTCGCTTTGTTACTTCTTAAACGCTGTGGAAAAAAACTGTTGATGTCCTTCTGGTATATTACTTAAGCTGGTATTTAGCCCAGGACGGATGGGTCGATAGCTCTCAATAGTCCAGTAGGGGCCGTTCGATCTCCTTCTGCACTACCGCCGTAATACAGTGAATGGAACACACACTTCTTATGTAAAAATGAGCTTCCCTCTCCCACTTGCGTTGTTCTGTGTCTGGCACTGAATTAAGATTCCACAGGTTTTGTTCGGTTCAAATGAATGAAAGTGTACATACAAGCTGACCTTTCACGCAGCCTCTGAGCAATTGAGTTAACTTTCGTACTGCACAGAGTAAAATGTCAATTTATCCACTGTCATTGTCCTTCATCCTTCAAGTTCTATAACAGCGTTTAGAACTCATTTTCTCCGAAGACCTTATGTCCTGAAGTTCAAGATGTTTTCTATGGAGACATAAATGTCAGCGCTAGACGTGTGCCTGTTTTAACTTGGAGGTACTGATGTTCAAGTAAATGACGATGACTTTATGATGCAACACGTATTCATAATTTCATAAAACTGTCATGGAACATCTGTTCCTTGGCATTATAATGCAGCCTCCTCAAATGTTGACCAAGGATGACCAAAGGCATTGAAGTACTTAGCCAGGGCAAACATCGGCCACAAGTCACAACTCGGGTCAATATAAGTCGGCAAAAACACGGAGAAAATCAGGCTTGCCTCGAAAAGAAGTTGGAACCGTCCCAGAATCAAGTCAGGCTGATCGGAAACTCAGTGTACTGTCTCCGGATTTCTTTGAATCACTTTGAGGAATTCTTCTCATCAATGCTGCTTCTGATGGTACTGCTGGTTTGGCCTCTCATGGAACATCTCAGTGCCTCAAAACAGATGTGGGGTTCACAGGTGTTGGTTTCGATGTTATTACTTGCCAGAAATATGAACCGTTTTGAGATGTAACAGTTTCACAGATTTATGGTTCAGATTATATGACCAGCTGTTTCTGCTTTAGCAAATCTAGTAACCGACTTTTAGGCGAGTGATCACAACCATTGGGTAATAGGATGACCTCACAGTTTAAAAGTTCAAAGTTTTATCCTTCATTGAAGCATTCTGTTAGAAGGTCTGTTAAGCATTCTTTGAGACAACCTCTTGTATCATGTAGCGTTCATCCTTGAATGAGTCTTCGAACCACTTTGTTTCCTATGTCATTGATCCCTGAAGCAGATCAACTGTCACCAACTTTCCACGTGTAGCCGGTCTGTTCTGTCCTCAGCTACACATAGCCTTCACGGCTCCTTCCAACACGTAGTAAACTCGACAGGTACGAATCTTACGGTGTATTACCGCCAACTTTCCACGTAACAACGAACCACAGACATAATCAAGGTATCAGACAGTCGAAAGTACATCAGACGTGGAATGGCTGACGTTTGATGGCAATCACCACAACCGTTAGTCTTCTGCCTGTCAGTGAGTGGCCTCTGTCGACGATGTCGGTGTAATGACGCGTGATGTAGTCACGGGGCGGCGTCTCCCCCTGCCCCCAGCGATCATTACTCCAGGACGAAACTCTCTTTCACAATCAATACCACTGAAGCATCGAGTCTTCATCTGCCGGGCCCGGGACGATATTTAGCCAGCTTCAAACAAACAGATTGTGCCCCTGGCGTTCGATTTTTCCTGATAAATGTAGTTACCAATTCCTCTGTCAAAGACTCGCACCTTAGGACCCCCTGTCGGCAGGAATATGACAACATTAATTGCAATTCCTTCTTGAACGCCGTAGGAGTTTCTGTGCACTGACAAGTGTGTTAACAGGCGAGACTTTCCGAGACGTTACGAGAGTAACAGTAAGGGGCTTCTTTGGTCTCTTGAATATCTGCCAATAACTCCACTCAGTGCGTTTTTAAAACAAAATGAAATACATTCACACGATGCCATAAACCAACAAGTCATCATCTTCTTCCATACTTTAATATCTCGAGGTAAAAACACTGTTCAGGGGGCTGGTATTAAATTCACTCGGAGAGACCATTACGGCAAAGTTCCTAAAGTACTGAGCGACATGTAACGGAATTCCTTCATTAATGATGCGTTCAGTTGTGTTGATGCACATGCCAATACATACATCCATTATTTATATCTCTACCTGATGCTTCGCCTATGCAAGATTTCACATTCTGAACAACTTGAATACGGAAACCTCGCCTTTCCGGATAAGAACGGGTAAGAACGTATAATATATACTAACAACTTCATCTGTCATCACAACCCCTTAATCCGGAACAATTTCTCAATCAATTTAGGGGCGGTGGGGTAGCATTGTGGTAAGCCTTCACTCGTCACGCCGAAGGCCTGGGTTCGATTCCCCACATGTGTACAATGTGTGAAGCCTACTTCTGGTGTCCCCCGCCGTGATGTTGCTGGAATATTGCTAAAAGCGGCGTAAAAACATACTCACTCACTCACACTCAACTAATTTACGTCTGGATAAACGAGGTTTGCATTTTCAAAATCATACCTGAACCGGCAGGAATGGGTTTGCCAGTGAGTATACCGCTAATCCAAACCCAAATTTGTATTATTTAAAGATAAGGGACAGATAGCAAAATCGATCAGCTGATCCAAAAAAACAAACTTATCTTGTGGACGCGTTAAATGATCCGGAGAAGCTCAATGAAAAGCCAATTTACTGCTTTATGCAAAGAAATGCCAACACTTCTTGCACACGTTAAGATAATCAATAACGATGTAATCCAATCAGCGACTACCTCAGCCATTTTGGTAAAAGCTTTTTCATGGGTAAAAAAAAAACTGAACCAAAACACCAGCATCGAAAAACAATATCTGAACATAGCATGGCTTCGGCGCAATCATCCATGCATATTTTATAATTGACATTCCATGAAAAGCACAGTGAATTCTTCCTTCCATGCAATCATGCCTACGTCCGTTACGATACATGCCGACTTGAGACATAATTGATTCGGGCTGTTTTAAGCAATAATACCTTTTAGCTTGGGGTCAGGTCGTTTTCAAAACAGTTGTAAGAGAAATTTGAAGCAATTTGAGGTCTAAATGTTTCTAATGGTACATAAACAACGTCGGAGATTTACGATAAACGATATTATTGACAGAAAATCGATTGTTCCGAAGCGTAATACACTTTTTTATCATAACTTTTGAGCGTAAAGTATATAAGTTATATAGAGCTTGTTGATTTACATTACAAACTGGCCATACTGTTCAGAATTCTCATAAACAAGTTTTGAAAGTTTCAAAACAAAAATCAGTAAAACAAAACCACTTGTTATTCTTTTGGTCTATAATTTAAGCTAAGGAGCGGCAAGGCTTCTGAAGTTTGTTTCTATTTCTAGCTTGCGTCTAGACGTTGAAATTGTGTCTACGTACTTAAGTAACTAGATATTTATGAACTGAACTATATCATGGACCTCAATTAGCATAGAGATATTTGTTTGAATGGTTGGGTTGGACGTTGCTGGAACGCAATCCTGAAAGTCGAAACTCTCTTTAAGATGAGAAGTGCTAATTAAAACACACAGGGCTTGAAGGGCAGTGACGTCGTGCAATCACCTTCTAAACGATAGACTGTATTAATGTCAGTCGATAGCGACACTTGGAAGACAGAGTAAGTAAACATAGGGAACGAATAGCCCGGGTTTCCAGCGTTCGCATTGCTTTCCGTTGAAGATGAAAACCGACGGCCAATTGTATATCGGGGGAAACGTTACGCCATCAATCGTGCCGCTATCTTTACCGCCATCGGCAGAACAATTCTCTCAGGGGAGATAACTACGCGCCACTTTTTAGCTCTTGCATACCACTGCAAATCGATGCGACGATATGTCAGCGATTTAATTGAATTCAAGTTTTTATTACCGACTTGAAGAAACGCAGACCCATTCACAGGGATTATTTCTGTTTTTGTTGGTTCGAAAACTGCTTTCACAACATTTTCAACACGTTGCAGAGTGATTGAGTAAAAAGGAGAGCATTTTTTCCGTTACATTCTTCATCGATTAGCAATATAACTGCTGTGTAACCTACGATCTCGTTCGGGGAGGCTTTATCTCAGCAATCGGGCACATTCTTGGAAGAAGAAGTGACAAAGGGGCCTCGTTTCAGAACAGCTGGAAGGATGAACAGTGGAACAATTTGGGATATGCGCGGTTTTTTATACCGTGAATATTTTTTGGTTTTTTTACAGTTTTGCCAGATTTGTTCAAGATAATTTAAATTTTCGATTTGCAGTTTCTATCCAGAACTCAAGCCGTCAAGTGAATATATACTGATCGAAAGAAGTAACGGAACGCAAAGAAATACACTGACGTACAAAAGAAAGTACACACCTGATGCTTTGGTAAAATGTGTTCCTGAAAACAGCCTGATATTTAGAAAAGTGTTTTCATTGCGACTCACAAGTCACAAACATTGTGTACGTGTTGCAATAACACCATAGATGTCGTACCCCATTTGAACATTGCTAGCAAAATATTTATGCTGTTTTAATAGTCTCAAAACACAAGGTGTGTACTTTCTTTTGCACATCAGTATAATTTTGAATAACATATATATATTTTTAGTATATGAGCATTAGTCATCAAGTATATATTTCATCTTAGTTATAGCATGCATACTGATCGAAAGAAGTAACGGCGTACAGAAATGGTGTTCAATAACAATGAAAATATTAGTGTACAAGCATAAAAAATTAAGTCACATCTCAGATATACAATATATACTGATCGAGAGAAGTAACGGCACATAGAAATGGTGCTGAATAACAATGAAGTGATTAGTGTGCAAGCATAAAAATTCAAGTGTATTTTATCTGTTATACAATATACAATGAACGAAAGAAGTAACCACACATGGAAATTGTCTTGAGTAACATATTTTTAGTGTATAATCATGAATAAATCAAGCATATTTTATCTCAGTCATACAATGGTAAATACTTTGAATAGAATCGCTTCTGTAGCTTCGTGTTGACCCCGCGTCGACTGACTAGTCGTAAAGTCAGTTACTCTAACGTGGAAGTCTATTTTGTGGGAAAATTATTGACAAGAGAACGAGTGAATAATGTTTCTCGCCACATAGCTCTATGCAATATTCGAGGAACATTTAATCGAGTTACAGCTACAATGGACCCAGCGTATTGAACCCTTGTGAGTGAGTGATAAACTATAGTGTTACGACAGGTCGTAACGTTACGATCACTTTGAGGATCGGAACCCTCATGCTTCAGTGACAGAGTGAGTGAGTGGGTTTAGTTTTAGAATTATAGCAATATTCCAGCTATATGGCGGCGGTCTGTAAATAATCGAGTCTGGACCAGACAATCCAGTGATCAACAGCATGAACACCGATCTACTCTTACGAGGGATAAAACTCGAGGCTCTTGGACCATTTTGCCACCCCATTGTCCGCTGAGGACGTTCACGTCGTTTATTAAGGGTATTTATGTTTGTTGATTAATGCCGCACTTCAGATCTGTAAATATTCGAGACCAGACAATCCAGTGATCAACATCATCAGCATAGATCTACGCAATTGGGATACGATGATATGTGTCAACCAAGTCAGCGAGCCTGACCACCCGTAGTCGCCTCTCCCGACAAGCATGGGCTGCTTAACACCGATTCTAACCCGGATCTTCACGGATGTCTTATTAATGACAAAAGACAAAGCCAGATAATATAGTCTCAAATTAATAAGGTGCTTACCGAACGCCTCAGTTAACCCCATGAGAGTGTAAACGCGCAAGTTATTTGTAGCTAGACAAATTACTGGGTAAATCTACTTTGTGAAACTTAACTACAGCTTACATATGCAATTTGATTACGTTGTACGGAGAGTCCTCTTGAGGGAAATAGTCTAGACGCCGAGGTGTTTGTTGTAAATAGCGCTTATACGATAACAGCTGTATATAAGATGCGTTAAACAGAATTATTCAAAAGATATAGCAACATCTGCGTGAATAGTAATGCAAAATAATTCTTTCAATGATTCGTTGCATAAAATGTATATATTTTTATATCATTTCGCTTGCATTGCCAATTAAAATGAGAGTTACTCTTGAAGGGCTCCGGAAGGTGGATCTCGAACATCAAGTTCAGGGAAGAGGATGTTGTGTCATTCGGTGTCAGCAACAGCTGTGGGTGACGGGATGGAGTTTAACGTCGTTTTTTTAAAATTAGATTTGATTGTTGTTTAACGCCGCACTCAGAAATATTCCAGCTATATGACCACGGTGTGTAAATATTCCAGTAACGACCAGACAATCATGTGATCAACATCATGAGCATCAATCTACGCAATTGGGGTACAATGCCATGTGTCAACCAAGTCAGCGAGCCTGACCACCCGATCCCGTTAGTCGCCTCTTTCGACAAGCATTGGTTGCTGAAGATACTTTCCAACACAGGTTTAACAACGTGTTCAGACCTATTTCACTTAGTGATGTGCGTGCATGTGTGTGTGTCTGCTTGACTGCACCAGTCCGAACCTATGCTGATTTAGAGCCATAGCCTTATGAGAGACCTTTCCGAATTTAAAATAAACAGCTACCCAGCTCAGATGCATTATACTCACGAACCCACTAGTCCTTCTTTAATATCCATAGTGCAGGCATCAAGTACGTGTTTAGTGTCTTTCATATGACGAATCGACAACCGAACCAGCGATCTTTCAGTCTCCTAGATCTGACAGACGATCTTTCCATTAGACAATGGTGGCCGTTATGTTAGTACAAGCGGGTGAGTATTATTTTACGCCGTT